TGTTGAAACACACGAATGAACGTTGACTTCTGCAACCAGGGCGTGGCACCATCAGTCCTTTTATCTCCAGAAGACCACCCTAACGAGCTCCAGCTGCCTTGTTATTCCTGCATCCCGACTCAACTCACAGCAACTTCTGCTGAATCACAACATGTTGTAACTTTGAACTGTCACTAAACGAACTATAGTAAGTTTCAAGTTTATTAGAATTTGTATGCCGCCCACTCCCAGGGGACTCTAGTGAGTCAATGACTACTTGTATTACAACCTACAAAACAAACTGAACATTGAATATGCCTGATGACATCCCTAATTTACATTAACCAAATTATCAATAAACAAAGTCCTCAGTATTTGCAATAATAGCAAGTACTTAGGAATAAAATCTTATCAATCACTAACCTCGCTATTAAGCTAACAAAAACCTTACAAAACTGTACCACATACCATAGTCGCCCATCTCATAAGTTCTGTCACATGACATCCTCACAAACTGATCATTGTATGCTACTAAAAAAATCAAACGGTATCAAATCTCATATCTTCAGATTCTTAAAAAAACCACGAAGAAATAAATACCACATAAGTTCAACATGTACCATGACATCTACCCCTGCCTTAAGGAAAATGTATTTTTCTAATATAATACTAAATTAGGTTCATCATTCTTATACAATGCTAAAATTGGCTTTGAAAATTTAGTACCAGCTGTACTGGCAAATAAATATTCATATGAACAGTTTTAGTAAGCGGTATATTTAAAGCCTATGTTTTGCTAATTAGATATTACACTGTACTTTTTCAATTCACAGAAGAAAAAAGGTGAGCTGGTCGATCCTACATTGCCTGTACAAATAGCCAAGTCACATGTATAGTATTGTATGTACCTTATGTGATCCCAGCACCTTATCAGTATCAGATATTGAGCTGATTTAGTTTGCTAAATAAGTCACACATATGTGACTTACTATCCACATATTATTGGCTTAGAAAAAATGTCTAAATCAAAACTGAAAAATAACATTATGGTTTAATGTTATTTGCAAATACTAAAAAGCTCATTATTATTATTAATATAAGTGACTGAAACAAAGTACTAAAATTACTCTTCATAGTAACAGAAACATAAAGATATTTTGCAAAAATTCTACCATGGATGTAATCTGGCTGTTGCAGATGTTTCTGGGCATGCAGATGTGTTATTTATGGAAGCTTCTTAATAGAATCACGAAATGCTGTTCTCTCTCTAAACCGCTGAAGTGCTTAAAATATTCTACCTGATTTTGTACAGTGATGCATTTCTTGGCAGTTATTGTGTTACAAGCATTTACATGGCATCATTTACATAAAGTCTTTCCTGACTCAACATTATTAGATAGTTGCCACCTTATAAGATATGTTGCTGACTTCCCAGTGTATATTTCTTCATAATCTTCCAGTTAAAACCAGAAATGACTTAACATTTTTAAAAATCTTATCATTATATTGTTACTAAAGATTAAAAAGATGGAGACATTTGCATGGAAACATTTCTTATTATTCTTACATTACGTTGAACAGGATTTACTGAACATTGTCCAAACATCCTCCCATAATCTGAAGCTATAAGCAATATACACAACGCATACATTTTCAATGAAACTTCTATTATCTAATCCAATATCTCAACATTAATTATACCACCGCAGTATTCTAAAACATGTACCTGCATTGATATTTCAGGATGTTGTCTCTGAAAGAGCAAAAGCTAAAAGTCAATAAAGGGTATTACCTTAATATCTTTATTTTGCCAATGGTTTAGCACAGATTAAAAACCGCTGCTTCTTTAGCTATGACTTTTTAGTTTCTATCAAACTGCAAATGGAAAAGGGGAACCAGAAAAACCCCAGTTGGTTCAGAACTCAGGGCTGGTTTTACATACTGCTTTACAATATTGAGGCTTTTGAACTTTGGTATTACCAGAGACTCCTGAAAATATCAAGAAAATAAATGATCAAATCGATTCCGAGTTCTTACGTGGTGACCATGACCATGCTCAAATTATCACATATTGGACGTATTATGTATAACCAAGCTCTCTTGAGTAATCTATAATGCTGAGTATAATGCTGAGAATAATGGAAAGAAAGAGGGACCAACCAGCAGCATAATGTATGGACGTGATTTCAGTGGTAATGGGTACAACCATTAGAAAACCTGAAAAACCCGATAAAGGACATAATGCTGGTAATCAAGTTGAGGTTGACTCATTAAGAGTCAACACCAACTTACGGTAATTATCACCATCAATCATACTATGTTTACTCCTAGTTTGTTCACTAAATCACCACTGGCTGGAGTCATGCAGGAGGGTAAAATAAAACCAAACACATAATGACTTAGAATAAGATTGCATACCCATAACAAGTCCATATGATAACCTCCTAAAATTAGTTCTCAAGAGTCTCTCCCAAACGTATCTCTGAATCGAAATGTTTGTGACAAAGGTGAAAGTATTGGGTTTGTATGTGTGTGTGTATAAAATTCAGATGATCAAATCAGCTGAAATCACAGGACTGCTTTTCTTTTCTATGGTGATGCATGAACTACTCAAAAACTTTAAACTTACACTGTATAATTCAACCCATCATGGCTCTAAAAATACCTTGCCATAAAAATGGTAAAAGCCTCATAATAGGTAGCAATTGCAATCTGTCATCTAAATCAGTGGTCTCCAACCTTGGCAACTTTAAGACCTGAGGACTTCAACTCCCAGAGCAAAGCTGGCTGAGGAACTCTGGGAGTTGAAGTCCACAGGTCTTAAAGTTGCCAAGGTTGCAGACCACTGATCTAAATGATCAACAGTTCATACATGGTGCCAATGAAGGAGAATATTTGCAGCTTAGTGGTTGAAATGTGGGATCCTTGCTGCTCCCTGAGCTTGTTTTCTTGCAGACATCTCGTTAGCCTAACTAGGTAACCTCATCAGCTGCCAGTAAGGAGTGCTGTTTGCTGTCAGTTTATATTCTGGTGTCTTACATCATAAAAAGTTTTTATTTTCCATTTTCATAGCATATAATCACATGTATACTATTACATAGTCAAGATTAAGTTATATTATTAAGTACTTACATCAATTCATCTTACCATCAACTACCAAAGGGAAAATAACCCTCCAGTTATTGGCTCTTCTGCTCTCCATACACCATATTTATACCTTATCCGACACTTTCTTCCCCTTCTCTCCTCCCCCTTTCTACATTCTGTCTTCCCTCTATCATTTTCTACTCCATTTCCCCTTCCTTTCTCCTTCTCCTCTCTCCCCTTACCACTCCTCCTTGTACACCTCATCTTCCCCCCTCCCCCTCCCTCCTGTCCCTCTCTTTCTATCTTTCTTCTCTCCTCTGCT